CATGTTTCTCTCGTCCATTTCTTATCCGAAGTGGTGGAATAGCAGTCACCTTGTTTAAAGGCAGGCTTTGAAGGATCCCAGGTTTGCTTGGATCGTCCTCACCTTCTTGCTCTCAGGAAGTGATGGATTGGAGGGCTGAGTCCACATCTGGCTTCAGTACCACGTCATCCTCAGCAGATTTTGCACTAAGGTAAATATTGAATCTTTAGCTCTCAGCTGCTTTTGTTAGCTCCAGCACTTCAAGCTCTCACTTTTTCTCCTAATGGCCACTAAACAATTACTCAAGGAAAGGTTTAGGGTGGAATGTACCCATTGTGTAAGCAAAGCTCACTTGTCCCTGAGCTCAGGCACACGTTTCCAGGCAGCCTGTCTTATTCAGCTGGTGCTTAATGGGAGCTGTGTCCATAAACAGGGGAATGGAATCTGTTTTTGACATGCACCTGTGAATTTGTCCTGTAGTGCTAGCTCCCGGGCAGCAGTGCTTTTAGAAAGGGGAACTGGAGTGAAGTGGATGATCTGAAGGGTTTTAAGCCGTTTTTGAGAAGAAGATGAATTACTGCTGGAAGTGCTGTGTGTGTGCTGTAGCTCTCAGCACAGTGTTTCAGCAGTCAGCAGCAGCACCTTGCTTCCCAGTGTTTTCTGCCACTCTTCTGTGTGCATGCCTATCTTTAGTAAGTGAACAGAGGTTACAGAGGGGAGATCTGTCATGTGAACCTGTCTTTGTGAAGGGTAAAGGTGCTGTGCTGAGGTGGGAAAGGAGGGCTGCTTGTACAGCAGTAGGTGGGCCTGACAAGGAGTTCTGTGCTACGTTTGGAGGGCAAAATAGAGATGATGCTCTTGGGTGAACTAAAGTTAGTATTGTGCAGAGTTTTTTTTTTGTTTGCTTTATTTTTTTTTTTGAAGAATGGAAATTATATGTGTGTATACTTCAGCTTTGCTCTTGTTGCATCCAAACTTGTGCTTCTATAAGCCTGCCAGATGTCCACAGGTGTGATCCTTGGGTTTGTATCTTGGGAGCTTTGTTGGACCGGGCTCAGAACTTGGTTTCCTAACCAAGGCTGCAACAGATTATTCACTACATGAATTCATTAAGTCAAAATTGCTTTCAGCAGGTCATGCTGTAGTTTAAGGCAAGTATTTGGCTTTCATTAGGTGCAAGTAGGTGATCACAGTGTTCGGTGTTTCTTTTCTAGTAATAAAAACTGTTATTTTGGCTATGCTGAAATAGAATTACTGCTAATGCTGACACAGCTTATGCTTCTGCCAAGTCAGCAGGAGTGCCTTTGAACATTCAACTCCTGGTGTCCAGTTGTTGATGTGCTTCTAGAATACCAATTTAGACATATCTGTGGCATTTAGTTCCAAATTTCTGGCTTGCTGCAGGAAAAGGTATTAGTAAAACCACAGCTACGTCAAAGTCTGCCTTTGAGAAATGTATGGGAACACAGTATTAAAATCAGTAAGGGGGTTGAACTGGGTGATCTTTGAGGTCCCTTCCACCCCTGTGATGTTACTGCTGGCTTAAGGGCAGGTGGATTAGTTGTGATTGCAGCCACATGACCCGCTTGGAGGGTGTATCTGAGCTTTTTCTTTCTCATACCATCCAAAGACTTTTTTTTTTGGCCATATTTCCATGGTCCATTTTTGATCACTTGAAGGCTTTTCTTTTCCCATGCAGCCAGTTAGCAACAGTGTCCTTACCCTGCTTTTGTCCTAAGAGCTGTTTCTTCAAGCAGATGCTATGTTTAATTCCTAAGGAATGCTAATGATCACCATTCATTACACTTGACAGCATTTCCCTGAGGAAAGTTCATTTCTTTATGGATGGCTTACTCCAGGGTGTTTTATTTTCATCGAGTTGAAGCTCAGAAGTTTGGGAGTGCCTGTTGTTCTGAATTGAGTGTGTGAATTCCATTTACCATGTAATCCTGAGAACCTTCTTCCAAAGGAAAGTCTTGTTGAATGTGGGACTCAGAAAAGTAACCAGGTCTCAGGTAGTTATGTTTGAAAGGAAATTGTAGCAGTTTACTCAACGAGTTTGCTCAGTATTTATTAAATACAGGAATACTGTTGGTAGCCAGTTGTGAAGTTTCAAACCTTAAAAGTGTTGATAGTAATTGCTAAATAACAGCATGAAAGGGCTGATGAAAGGAAACTTGCAAACATGAATGCTCAGCTTTCTGTACTGATCCATCACAACACAGAAATGATAGTTTTTGCCAATTTCTCGTTCCGCATGGCAGAATGGTAATTACCTAACATTTGTATGAGACTGGCTAATATTTGTCACATTAGAAGCAGCACTGGAGGCGGAATGAATGCAGCAGAGGAGCAGGCAGCACCAGAGCTTGCAGGAAAAAGGATCAGTAGTTCCCTTCTGCATCCTTTGCACCTTGACCTCTCAGAAAGCTGCTGTCTCCTTCCAGCCTGTTACCCAAACCTGGCATCGTGGAGCTCATCACTTGATTTTTTCTGCAGTCATCGGGGTATGGGGCCATTGTGTTATAAAATGCAGATCCTCATTTCTTTTCCACCTCTGCCGCTTTAAGTTGCATTGCAAGCTGCAGGCTTGATAGAACAACATTTTCCTGGAGGCACTAAAATCAAAATGGGTGTTCACATGATGTTGTGGACCACTAAATGCCATAGGCAGTAAAGGTAAAAGCACAGCGAGCTGAAGAAACTCTGTTCTATAGGCTCAGAAGGTGGGTAGAGGAAAACAGGAGGAGGAGCTGAGGAGAAGAGATGGCGTTGAGTTGGTAGAGAGCTGTTAACTCGAACTACATCTGAGTAAGTAACTATCATGTTCCTTATTCTACACTCCTGCCTGCATCTCCCTGCTCTAATCAATAGCTTTAAAAAAAAAAAAAAGAGCAAATGTAGTTGACAATTTAGTCAGCCAGTTTTCCAACAGAGTCCTGGAAGACTTGGAAAAAGACTATTTTCTTGCTTGGAGCTCCTAAATCAACTTGTGTGTGGACTTTTTCTGTCTGAGAAGCTTCATCTCACCTCCTCGCAGGGTCACACACACCATGCTGCTTTCGCAGCTGTGAAGCTCAAGTTGCCACCACGTCCCCTCTGTTTGTTTTTAGCAGGATTGGGTGGTGTGAGCCTCCTGATCTGGCTGGCAGCTTCTGTTGTATCGTGATGATGTAATTCATAAGGAAGGTGTGGAATTGCTGCTTCATTGAAGGAGTGCTGTGTCCCTTTGCTGGACAGAACCAACTACAGGGCTTATTCTGCTTGTATGATTCCCCTGAGTGACAGCCTTTGGCTTTTCCAATGTACTTGTTCTTTCTCACTTCCTTTCCCTTAGATGCAAATATGAAAATCCCGAAGCACACTTTGTTTAGAGCTGTGCCAGAATCTTTGTGTCCCTAACGTGCAGACAGAACTTCTCCCATGCAGCTTTTTCATGTTCCGCCTGTGAAGAAAGGCTGCAGTATTGCCCCATCCCTGCCTGCGACCGTGGAGCTCCATCAGGACAGGACAACTGAATTCTGCTTTAATTCTCATTTGCCTTCAAACTCGTGGGAAATGCCACTCGAGTTGGAACACTCGGGTTGCTGCTATTGGCACTGCTGCCTCTTGGAGCTGCTGCTGGGAGCAAGGCAGGGAGCAGCACAGGGGAGGGCTGCTGGCAGCTTGCAGCAGGGCCCTTACAGCTGGAGGAAATGGAGGAAATCGTGGAGGAAATCTATTCACAGATAAGGGATGTCCACTCCCTTACTTCATCCCCTTCGTTACAATTCAGGCAGTGTTCATTGCACCTGCACTGAAAACCAGCCAGTGGAGTTTGCTGTTGATGGACACTCCTGCGTGGGGCCCAGCTCTGAGGATGCTTTCTGTGTTTCTCCGTGCTGAGACCCTGGGCTGATTCTTGTATTTTATTCAATCCTTCATACTTGCCATCATCACACAGCCACACTTCATGCTGCTTTGGAGCACTGGAGCTGTAACGTGCTGCCTGCAGTTCTCGCTTCAGGCTGCGTATGGCAGCCCTGCCTCTGCCTTGCTCGCAGCAATGGCATTGAAATCCCTTTGTCAAACTCTCCCACGCCGTTCTTCACACATGTATTCTGCTGATCCGTAGCCTAAAGTACTGGGTTGGTGTTTTCATATCTCCATTTATCTCTGTGCCTAAGGGCACCCAGCATCCCCGCAGGCTGATGAGGCTCTATGTGGTACTGAGCATGCGGAGCTGGGGGCTGGATGCAGCCATGAGCCCTGCAGCAGGAGCAGGATGGGCAAGATTCAGGGTGGATGTCAGGGGGAAGTTCTTTGCTATGAGAGTGGTGAGGTGCTGGAACAGCTGCCCAGAGAGGCTGTGGATGCCCCGTCCATCCCTGGAGGTGTTGAAGGCCAGGTTGGATGGGGCCCTGGGCAGCCTGGGCTGCTATGAAATGTGGAGGTTGGTGGCCCTGCGTGTGGCAGGGGGTTGGAGATTCATGGTCCTTGGGGTCCCTTCCAGCCCTGGCCATTCTGTGATGGCGGCACCAGGGCTGTGCTGGGAAATGGGGGGTGCTGCTGTTGTGCATTTGTACGGATGGCTATGATACCGAGCGGAGTTGCAGATGAGTTTTAAAATGAGTCTAACTTCGGTATAAAAATAATGGATGTTTCGGAGACTGATTTTTTTTTTTTTTTTTGTCTGCTGGACACGGCACGTAGTTAACGAAGTTAACCATAACCGTGTAACCAGGCGTTACGCGGCCACTCGTACACAAGTAGGTGAAAGTTAGGTGTGGACGAGCGAGGTTTCGGGTCGCTCTGTGCGGGCACTTCCTCACCCCGCCGGGCTCCGTTCCCAACGCGCGGCTTTTCGGCCTCGTCCTCGTCCGTCCATCCGCGCCGCCGTTCCCGCGCTGCGCTGCGGGGGGCGCCGCTGCCCCGAGCCGCCTGGGCGCCGCAGCGCCGGCCCGGAGGAGGGGAGGGGCGGCTCAGGTGCGAGCGGCGCTGGCGGGGAGCGGAGCGGCGGCGGCCGCAGCCGCAGCACGGCGAGCGGGAGACCGCGGGCGGGCGGCGGCCGGCGAGGATGCGCGGAGGGGAGGCGGCTCTCCTCGTTGCCGTAACAAAGAAGCGGAGAAAAAAGTAACGGTTTTGCGTGCGCGCTTTGCCTCTCGTAGACCGAGGGAATAGCCGGCGATATTCTGAAATCAGAAGGACTTTGCGTGCGGCGCGGGGATGCGCGGCAGGAAATTAACTCCGACGGGAATGGTTTCTCTCAAAGTGCCGCGACAGGATTGGAGGAAATGTTTCTTTTCTGGCAGCTGAAATCCCTCCTGCGGACGCGGCGACGGCTGCCGAACGCACCGGGGACTTTTGCGGAGACTTAAAGCAGATGCCGGCGTTCGTACCGGAATGACCTTGGGATCGCTGTGTGTGGATCCCTCGCTTCCCCCCGCCGAGCTCCAGAACTCTCGGATAAAGGCGGTTCTGGCATTTCTGGGGCTTTTCGGAATCCACGAGTGTGTACAATTAATTACCTGCCTAACGATTCCGGAACGAATCGAGCGTTTACTTAAAACTGAACCCAGAAGATGCTTTCTGTTAACGTTTGCTTTCTCCCCAGCTGCGAATGCAGTGAGCAAGGTAACGTCCTGCAATTAGAAGAACGATTATTTTAAGCTTCTATTTATCACCTATAAAACGTAGGAGCCCTAAAACCACGTAGAAGATGAAGCAAAACAGCAGGATAACGGAGTAGTAAACAATGGCAGCTTTTCTGGTCAAATCAGCATTTCGTTAGCATGGCAGCAGAATGCAGATGGAAGTTTCTGTCCCTGTGGTGTGGGGGTTTGTGAAATGATTCAGGTGTTGCTACAGAGGTGAGCGCTGCCATGGCTGGACCCGTGAACTCCCGAGCACCGGGCTCTGCTACGGCAGAGCTTCCAATGATGATGGTTTTAAATTGCCGTTGCTGAAATAGAATTCAAGAGGATTTATTTTGTCTTGTGGGGACCTCGAGGTATGCTTCTGGCATTGATAATTGTAACAGACGATAACTGCTTAAAAGGATTGTGAATACTGACAGAAGTCTCCAAATTCTATTCTGAAAGCATTTTGATCTTTAAATGAATAGACGCAATCTTCCTCGTTGTATGTGAGATGTATGCTTGCTTCCTGGGCAGTCAGAGGACAAACCTGCCTTGTCCCCCGCCCGCCTCCCTCCAAATAAAATTCATTATTCATACCCAAACGGTGGTGAGTCTGTTGGAATTAACCTTGGCAAAAGTGTTTTCCTTACCTTCCTAACAATTAGTGTGGATAAGACGGAGTGCCATCTCCCAGACAGAGCCAGAAAAGGCAGCGTTAGGTGATGAACTTTTTCCTTTACTCTCAAGTCACTCTGCTTTAAACTGAAGACGTTAAAAGATGACCTCTAGCACCTGCTGGTCCAGGAACCCTGAGCTGTGCCGAGGTTCCTCCCTCCCTCCCTCCTCTCACCCCGCTGTGTTCCAAAGTCAATGACTTTCTCAGGAAAATAAAAGTCAGATATTCCCCCTCCCCCTCCCCACCCTGGGGAATGAAGATGGCTCTTCAGTTTTTGTTTCCCTAATTCATGATACCTGCTTGCTTTAGAAGTGCCTTGTGTTTGCTAAGGATTGTTCAAGAGCACTGGAGCAGCTGATCAGTGGCCTTTCTCTTTCTGGCTTTTTTTGTTTTGTTTTGTTTTTCCTTCTTTCTTTTTCTTTCTTTCTTTCCTTAAAGCTAAGGTGTGCCAGAGGTGATGCGCTGATGCTGAGGAGCATCAACAGCTGTGGGACAGTAGAACCCTCCCAACTGTAAGCACTGGCAGCAGGAGAGACCGTGGGACACTGGAGCAGTCTGGCTGCCGCTGAGCGGGTCGCCTGCCCGCTGCCTGCAGTCCCAGTGATCCCACCACAAAACATGAACCGGTCGCGATGGGTTGAATGGAGGACTCTGAATATGAGCGGTAGCCTGGTGAACCTGTCTGAGCACCTCTCCTGCCCTCTGGGATTTGGTCACTACAACGCAGTCGACATCTGTATCCTTGAGACAGTTGTTATCGTCCTGCTCACCTTCCTGATCATTGCGGGTAACCTGACTGTTATCTTCGTTTTCCACTGCGCCCCACTCCTGCACCATTACACCACCAGCTATTTCATTCAGACCATGGCCTACGCCGACCTCTTTGTTGGAGTTAGCTGCTTGGTCCCCACGCTGTCCCTGCTCCACTATTCAACAGGCGTCCACGAGTCCCTGACATGCCAAGTTTTCGGATACATCATCTCCGTGTTAAAAAGCGTGTCTATGGCATGTCTGGCTTGCATCAGCGTGGATCGCTATCTGGCTATAACAAAGCCTCTCTCCTATAACCAACTGGTCACACCTTGTCGCTTGAGAATCTGCATCATTTTGATCTGGATATACTCTTGCCTCATCTTCTTGCCTTCCTTTTTCGGCTGGGGAAAACCTGGTTACCACGGAGATATTTTTGAGTGGTGTGCTACCTCCTGGCTAACTAATGCCTACTTCACTGGCTTTATCGTCTGCTTACTGTACGCTCCTGCTGCCTTTGTCATCTGTTTCACGTACTTCCACATCTTCAAGATCTGCCGGCAGCACACCAAAGAGATCAACGATCGGAGGGCTCGGTTTCCCAGCCATGAAGTGGACGCTGCTGGGGAGACGGGGCACAGCCCTGACCGCCGCTATGCCATGGTGTTGTTTCGGATCACCAGCGTGTTCTACATGCTGTGGCTCCCCTATATCATATACTTCCTGCTGGAGAGCTCTAGGGTGTTGGAGAACCCCGCGCTTTCCTTCTTAACAACGTGGCTTGCTATAAGCAATAGTTTCTGCAACTGTGTGATCTATAGCCTCTCCAACAGTGTTTTCAGGCTGGGACTACGGAGGCTGTCAGAGACCATGTGTTCATCTTGCACGTGTTTAAAGGACAGGGATGTACAGGACCCTAAGCCAAGGAAACGGGCTAATTCCTGCTCCATTTAAAGAACACAGACGTGGAGCTTTGATAGCGTTTGCTGTATCTGGGAACTTACCAGAGGAGAAATGTTTACTTGAACAGTTTGCTATGCTGTTAGAGATGAGTTGAAAAGTGCTTTTGGGAAAGGAAAAGGCTGCTGTAAGAGGGGACTCTGACTGTAGCTCTGAAATTGTGAGCAGAGCCATTCAGCAGAGACAACAGAGAAAGTCAGAACTTACATCTTCCAAAGGGCATGATGCAGCTCCTGCGTGGCAGGAGAGTCCTCACAAAATAAACGAGTTAGTTACTACCTTCTCTTTTCTCCCTTGTAGAAAAGTTGTCTTACTATCTTTGTGTCAGAATATACTGTAGCCTTCTGAATTTAAGTATATTTACGAGGAAGCAATCAACTACACAGTAAGTGGCTATCCGTAAATTATATTCCTGAGGACTTGCAGTAGATGTTGCAGATGAATAACCAGCTCTGTCTCTGCTCACACCTGGTACCATTTTCAGTTACACAGACAATCTGCAGTGCGTGATGCTTTTGGACAAAAAGGGCACATTCTGCTACAACTGTCACCAAAACCTCCCCCTCTCATTTCCTTTTATTTTCCCCCACTCTCTGACCCCCCTCCATCCCGTGCATCTTTAGATCCCATCGTGTTGCAGGGGTTTAGTTTGAGGGCTCCTACGAGGTAAGCTGAGTAACTGCAGCTGCCTGCCTGTAAGGACTTCTTCTGTCTTTCATTCTCTCGATCCTGCTAAATGAGCACACGGTGTTGATGTAGTGTCCTTTAGGGTGTACTAAAGCTTTTCCCTTACTGTCTACACAGATAATCCTAAGGCAGATATGGTAATCGCACACAGCAGTGCGCATCACTGCTTAGAAAATTAAAAATAAAATAACAAAACCTTTTCTTTTGGAAGCCTAGCTTACTGTTGTGGCTGCCAATCCTTTGTGTGAACCTGGCTTGCACATCCTGTATTCTTTTCAGATTACTTTTTTTTTTTTAAGAGAAAAATGTAAGCTGTGGTCTGTGCCTGATGTTTTCCTAGCACGTGGGGTAGGTCAGTGCTACAGGATTAAAACACTGCACTCGTTTTCAGAGAAATCCTTCTGTGCAGTTGTTGAATAGATGTTTGTCAGACAAGTGCTCTTGGAGAAGGTGAACGAGACAGTTAGGTATCAAATGCAGGCAACGAGCTTCAGTATTTCCTTTTGTAGTGAACTGACTTTCAGGTCCACTGATTAAATCTTTTTTATTTCGCAAGGGCGCACGTTGGGTTTGTGAAATAAATTGCCAGGGGTTCAGATGCATGCCAGTCGATAAAACAAATTATTATTTTGAACCAAATGTAATTTTCTTAGGTGGTTATTGGCTTTTAAAAAAGGCCCAATGATTGATTATTGGTGCCTTTTAACACTGCACTATGATTCCTCCTTTCACCAAAACGCATATGTAATATCGTGCCTATTACTTTTTGTAATGGAAGCTAACCACGTTTGCACACTTGTGGTTTGACTCTCGATCTCCCGTACTGATGTACTCTCTGTTTTGTGGAGGTGGTTCTGAACCCCTGTACGTTTTTAAACCTGTAAGAAAGATGAAACAACGGAATAAAGTAGTATTATGTATATCAAACCCAGCCTGATTGTAGTTCCCTGATGTTCCGCTCTCTTCTCTGTGCAAGTTCTTCTGGTTTCCAGCGACCTTCCCAAGGACTTTGGAATGGCCCATTTAAAATCCCGAACTAGGACTGTCTGCTTTCTGTCTTCAGTGTTTGTATGCTGCTTTCTATCATCACACAGCCTTTAAAGCAGATTGAAATATGACTTGAAACATTCCTCTAGCTAAACTGAGCCATTGCCGACGATTATCCCTGACAGATATTATGGAGAAGCGAGTCGCGTTCTTCTCACGTACTCATGTCCGTGGCAGTGTGTGTGTTGCCTTCTTTAGAGAAGCTGCTGTTTATTTCAGAAGTCTCCTTGGCTGCTCCAGAAGGTTGTTCGACTCTGTCTCACCTGAAAAACCAGAGCTGTGTTTGTGCTCTCAGTGGTGATGTACTCAGTTCCCTGCCTAGTTAGGTTCTCGGTGCACAGGACTTGGCCAACAAGAGGGAAAATGCCTCGTTCCTCCCAGCTCTTGTGGTTGGTTTCAAGCCAATGAAATAGTTCTGCATTTGTGCTCAGGGCTTTGTTGGCATTTCCAATAAGAGGTTTCGGTGTGACCTTTGGAAATCCGAGGAGAGTTCTAGGAAATCCTTGTAGCTGACCAAACCTTTTATTAAAGAGAAGAAACCCAACTTGAAGGCACCAGGTGCGTATGTACATGCTGCTGTAGCTTCAAACATGTTGAGATACACGAGCTAGCTCATTTGTATCAGTAGTGCCTTAGCTGAACCCTGCTTGTGCAGCCCCATAGGATCTGTGCAGCAATACCTGTGTGCTGAGCTGGCACGTGGCACTTCCCTTGGTCCTCAGGCTGGTGTTGAAGGGACAAGACCTGGCAGAAAAACCCTACCCTGCATATGAGTTGTAGGTACCCAGATTCCTTGCTTTCTTTTTCTTTGAACCTCGATGTCACAGTGGTGCAAGAGCGCTGACTTGTGTATCTGAAGCCAGAATTTCGCTCACTTCAACCCATTCTATGGAGACCAGGAGCATGTCAAATTATCCCCAGCCAAGTTCAAGCCTTCTTTTCCTGGTGCTGTTCCCTAGATGACAGAATTTGACATGGTGGTCAGTCACATGAATTTTTAAATTTAGTAAGTGTGTTTCATTTTCTCGCAGTGCTATTTAAACTCATGATTTCAAATGTTATCGAAGGGAGGTTTGTTGCTGTTTTACTAATGCTGTCTGAGGACTCCAGCTGGTGCTGAATTCTCTTCCAGAAATGATAGGGCTGGATGTTTTGGTGGGTTTAAAAAAAGTCCAGTAGAAATTTCACTCTCCTGACCTGTCAGTTTTGATTTTCAGTCTGTCTTTATTATATAAAGTTTCGTGATCTTGTATAAAAAGGCAGGAGAACCCCAATCGTGCAATGGCAGCCAAAGTGCCACCAGAAAAGTGACTTTTTCTTCACCGTGCTCCTTTATTTCCTGAAACAGCCAGCTGATTTTCCCCTTAAAACATTCCTTACAAAGAAAACGGTGGTCACGAAAAGCATAAGGTGGTGTTTTAAATGCTTTCTTATTGATTTTCTCATAATAAGATTTTTTTTTTTCCCACTTCTGCTTACAAACACATCTTGTGATTGTACTTGGTAAAGCACGAGGTGTCATGCTAGGTTTATTTTTGGGCAGAGTCTTTGTGTGTTCTCTGCTGAACAGTTCACTGTTCCTTAATGAGCCGCCTTTTGTGGTACAGTTTATGAAGACCTTTTAAAAATAACATTTATTTTATTCTTCCAAATATTTTACTGCGTTAGTATTTGCCAACTGAATATCTGTAGCCGTGCTTTGTTTTCACCCTCAGCAAAGCTAGTAAAAATGGCTTTTTTTGGAGGAGAAACCTGCCAATCAATATTAGAAATTGGCTGTTGAGAATCGTGGATCGACGCAGTGATTTGCAGTTTTTCATTAGCTTATTATTCTGCATAAAGACAAATGGAGTTTCAATACGAACAAAAGATAGTTGCTGCAACGGGATATCAAGTTGATGGGAAATGAATTAGTTTGTATACTATCCCTCAGCTGGTTCTCAACATGGAGCTCTTTCATCTTTCCGTATTACGTATTGATTCGATGATTCTTTGATACACTTGTAGCCCAGCCAGCACATCTATGGATTTTTGTGCTGCTATTTGAATGTCTGTATCTCTGCCTCGGGGTGCTGCTGCGCTGGGAAGAAGCCTTTGGCAGCAGCAGCTCGGCGGTGATGCGCCCAGCCTGGAGCTGCCTTTGCAGGGAGGGAGGAGTGGTTTGCTAAGCCAGATACAAAGCTCAAATAAAACCTGTTTTTTTCCCCCTATTTAACCTATACATTTCTATTTTTCTGTACTGACTCCTCTCTCCATTTGATAGCGGGGAAAATCTTTCCAGAAAACAAGAGCAGGGCTCCACGGGCCTGAGGTGCTAACAGGGCAGTGCACGAGCAGAGGAGAGGCTGCTGAGGGCACTCTTCCTCAGCAGAGCCTCAAGGAAACACTGCCAACCACTCATCTCACCTTCACATCCACCATGTCTCTGGGCTTTTCCTTTATCGAAGGACAGTGGCAAGTAGAAGGAGGCCCTCGTGCTTTCAGCTGCGCTGACAGCAGGCTGGGAAATGCTATTTGAGGCCATGGAAATGCCTGCAGATCTTTGGGATTTTATCACCATCTTACCCTGCCTCCTGCCAGACGTAACCCTCCTGAGAAGGACGTGGCAGAAACGCTGCGGGCGTTTCGTGCTCATCACCCTGCAGCTCGCTGTGAGCAAAGCACAGATGGTTCTGATTGAAAGGAAACTTCTATACATGATTGCCAGGGAAAGAGGTTTTACTTCTGTGTCCACCCCGGCCTGTAATCTAAGTTTTATGAGCAGAAATATTAGAAAAAGGGACAAACTGAAGTTTCTGAGGAGGATCAGAGATGTCAGCACTGAGGGCATTTCTGCATCTTGATGATATTGCTTTTTTGTTTCTTCCTTTTCTTGGCATGGAATGCATCTGTTGTCTGGTTTTTCTTCTCCTGTACATTATTTGAATAAGCTCAAATGCTTCATGGATGAAGTCCAGGTAATGAAATATTTGCATGGCAAATTGGATAGCGACTTGGGAAAGTATGATGGAGTGACAGAGAGATAACGAGGTGCATCACTCATAGAGCACGCAGGTATTTCACATTTCCCGTGCTTTAGGTTGGAGAGTCTTTGAATACCTGCATCCAGTGAAGGTTTCTGGCCTTGAATGATCTCTCAAGTGTTATTTATACTTGGGCATGTATTATTTAAAAGCTGCTCTCGTGTGACGTTTAAATTTATAATTGTAAATGGACAAATGATGTTTCCAGCGCTCAGGCAGATTCGTTCTGACCTCTGCAAGAGG